CTGAAACAAAACAATTTTCAATTCAGTCTTTTTTCGCTTCAGTTTTCTTTCGATTGTTTTTCTCAGTATTGTGCCAAACTTTGTACATCTTTAAAAATATTCTTGAAAATACCCTTTATTTCCCTCTTCGAATTCCTTCAGATGTTCTCTCTATTATCACTTTTTATTTCCTCCATCTTCACTTCTTTCAAAAATGTAATTTTCGCCTTATTCTCCCTTTATCTTTCCTTCAGTATTCCCTCACATTTCTTTAATTTCCACTTCAAAAATCTTTCAAAAATCTCCCTCATTTTTCACGAAGTAGTCTCTCAAATTCCCTTCGTTTTCATTCTCTTTAATTCGTGACGTAGCGCCAAGCCACGCCCCCTGTCCCTACTCCCCAACCCCCACCCACCCATCCGCTTTGGTGTACGTCATCATTGCCAAGCGTCCGCGCATCCTGACGCGGGGACTAGTACAGGCTCTCAACGCCAGCTGACGGTGGTCTTGAGCTGTCGTGTCTCTACGTGTTTGCCCTCGATTTATGTATCTTTTATTTCCTTTGGTTCTCTTTTCCTTGTCCCTTCTATTTCTTAATCTTCTGTCTTATATATTTGTCTGTATCACTGTCCCGATCTGTCTTATTCTCTCCCTCTCTCCCTCCTCCCTCCTCCCTCCCTCCCTCCCTCCCTCCTCTCCCTCTCTCTCCCTATCCTCTCTCCCTCCCTATCCTCTCTCTCCCTCCCTCCCTATCCCTCTTCCCTATCCCTCTCCCCTCTCTCCCTCCTCCCTATCCCTATCCCTCTCCTCTCTCTCCCTCCCTCCCTATCCCTCTCCTATCCCTCTCCTCTCTCTCCCTCCCTCCTATCCTCTCTCTCCCACTATCCCTCTCCCTCTCTCTCCCACTTCCCTCTCCTCTCTCTCACTATCCCTCTCTCTCTCTCTCACTATCCTCTCCCTCTCTCTCTCTCTCTCCCTCTCTCTCTCTCTCCTTATCCCCTCCCTCTCTCTCTCCGTATCCTCTCCCTCTCTCTCTCCTTATCCTCTCCCTCTCCTCCCCGAATGAAACTACAAGCCATATAGTTTTACCTAAAGCGCTACATACGACCGAAACCACCTAACTTTAAGGCCAATTTCCCTTACAAGAGAGCTTACACAGTTTCCCGAACTCCTTTCACATGATAACGCCCCCCCACCCCTCCTCTTGAGATATCTATCCCCACCATTCTTTCTCCTTTGCATAGCAGCGAGGAGTCTGAACTGAGGGACATTAAGAGTGACCCTGAACACCACTTTCAAGCGTTATCCTTTTTGTTGTATTTTCTCCCCTCCTCCCTCCTTCCTTCCTTACCTACCCCTTCCTCCCTCCTCCATTTCCCCCCTCTCTCTCCTCTTTCTCTCCTCCCTCTTTCACCATTTTCCCTCTCTCTTCCCTCCTTCCTTCCCTCTCCCTCCTTCCCCCATTCCTTTATTCATTCCCTCCCATTCCCTCCACTGCCCCCCCCCTCCTCTTCGAGCTCTGCCTCCGCTGGTGCAGTTGCTATATAAAGAAAAGAAAAGCAAAGTGAAAGAACAGATAAGAAATAAATGAAAAAGAAAGTAAAGAAAGAAAAAGAGAACAGAGACAGAAAAGCAAACCCCCAGACGGAAATGGAAAAAGAAAACGGAGGCCGAAAAAAATACAAAAGAAAAATAACCCGAAAGACATTATAGAAAAAAAGAGAAATGGACGAATGAGCCAAAAACCGAAGAAATGAAAGAACGAGAACGACCGGACGTTCGGTGGTGAATAGACTTACTTAGGCAATTAAGTGCGGAGAGAGAGAACGTAAAATGCACGGCCAGGAGGGGCGGCCACCTCGGACTTGTATTGAAATCTCTCATTTTCTCTCCTCTCCCTTTCCGATTCATTACTCATTTATCCGTTTTCTCTTCCTTTTTTTCTTCCTCTTCCTCTTCCTCTTTCTCTCTCTCTCTCTCATTAACTGAATCACTCAACTATTTACCCACCACCCACTAGCATACCCATCCTCCCATTCACTTATCCATCAGTATATTCCTACATCTATCCACCTACTCATCCATAAATCCTCCCAATAAACTCGTCCAACTATCCACTCACCCATCCCACACACCCACCATCCCCATTACACATCCATTCACTCAAACGCCAACCCACTTTTCCACACGCAACCAATCCACTCGCCCACTCACCTATCCAGCAATCCACCCACATAACAAATACACACGCAGCTAACCCATCCACCTATCCAGCAATCCAGTAATCCACCCAGATATTAACGCACGCAGCCAACCCACCTACCCACACAACACTCCACCTAAATATCAACCCACTCACCTATCCAGCAATCCATCCGAATATCAACAGACGCAGCCAATCCACTCATCCACCCATCTCATCCACTCGACCAACCACTGCTCTGCCAACTCAACAAGACCCATCGGAAAATGTCCTCAGGGATCCAGGCAATTGCGGAGGTGAAGAGAGGAGGGAAGGTGAGGAGGAAGAGGTGGAGAGGGAGGGAGCGGAAGATGAGAAGATGAGAAAGGGGAAGAGGTGGAGAGACAGGAAAGAAGACGAGGAGGAAGAAGAGCTGGAGAGAGAAAGGAAGCGGAAGAGGTGGAGGAAGGAAGATGTGGTGAGAGAGAGAAAGGAAGACGAGGAAGAGAAAGAGCTGGAGAGAGAGGAAGTAAAAGGAAGAAGTGGAGAGAGAGATGAAGTAGAGGATGAGAAAGAAGTGAGAAGCGGAGGCAATGGAAGAGGAAATGGTGGAGAGATGTACAAGGAGTTGGAAATGTAAAAAGAAATGGAGGAAAAAGAAACGGAAAAGAGATGTAGGACAGGGAGAGGAGGAGACAGATAAAAAAAAGGAAGTGGAGGAAAGTGGAGAAGAGAGAGAGAGAAGTTCAAAAGTGACCGGTATTGTGAGTGGAAGTGGAGAAAGATGACCGAAGAAACACATATGAAGAAAGGTGGAGAGAGAGAGGAAGAGGAAGAGAAAGAGGAGAAAAGAGAAGGGGGAGAGGAAAAGGAAGAGGCAAACGAAAAGAATGAGAGTGGGCAAAGGGGAAAATAAGGAAGTGGAAGAAAATGAGGGAATGGGACAGGGAGATTGCAAGGAAGAAAATGAAGATAGAGAAAAATAAAGAAGAAACTGAAAGAGGGAAAGATGCGGGGAGAGGGTGAATAAAATGGAAGTAAAAAAGACAGAGAAAAGGGAATGTGAAGAGGTAGAAGATGACAACAAACGAACACATCCCTGACGTCCAGAGATCGGTAATGAAATAAAGTCCCGTCAACGTTTCCCGCGAACAACCGCCTCTAAAACAAGCAAATCCAAAGAAAATCAGTCCCTCAAAGCCCGACTCTCGCTCAATTATTCAAAAACGGCAAAACTACAAAATTAAAAAGCCTGTTGCCATTAACATGCCTGGTGTCCCAAATTTGCATATTTTTGCATACGATTAATAAGATGTTTCTGCGTGCGCTTCAACAGCCCCCCCCTCCCCCCGCCCCCGCCGATGGAGAGCCGAGTAAGCGCGGGTTGGCCAGTTTTGGTCTAAATACTTTTCGGTGTAAACAAGGCCCGTCCGTCACTATAAATACGCCCGAATAAAAAACACAAACAGATAAACAAAACCGTAAACATCCGCAGATATTGCTCTTATGTTTCTAGCCGCGTCGACGTCGATTGTCTCTATCCATCTACCCATCAATCTATTCACCCATAACCCACCCAACCACCCATCCTCATTCACCCACCCAACCCACCCACCCACCCCACCAACCCAACCACCCACCTCATCCACCCACCCAACCGACCACCCACACCAAACAAAATCCATCCACCCACCCACACACACGCACATACACATCCTAAAACCATGACCTCTTCATCTCCACCTTTGTGTACGTGTGCCCGCGTGTGTTGTTCGTTCGTTCGTTAATCGTCCGAAGCGCAGACATAATCGAGCCACGAACATCAGTTAAACAAACGAACGGGGGCCTCTTCCGTTTCGAAGCGCAGTCCGTCTAACGAAACGCATGAGGCTCGGTATCCATGAATCTTTGGAGGGCGGGTGGGGTTGTGGGGGTAGGGGGGTGGGGGGTAGGGGTTGTGGGACTGAGGAAAAGGGAGATGAAGGGATATGAAGGAAAGGGCAGGGGGAGCGGGAGAGGCGGGAGCGGGAGAGGAAGAGGGATGGGGAGGGAGAGGGCGGAGGGGAGGGAGAGGGAGAGGGAAAGAGGGAGAGAGGAAAGAGGAGGGAAGAGGGAGGAAAGAGAGAGGGAAAGAGAGAGGGAAAAGAGAGAGAGAGAGAGAGAGAGAGAGAGAGAGAGAGAGAGAGAGAGAGAGAGAGAGAGAGAGAGAGAGAGAGAGAGAGAGAGGAGAGAGAGAGAGAGGAGAGAGAGGAGAGAAGAGAGAGAGAGAGAGAGAGAGAGAGAGAGATGAAGGGAGAAGAGAGAGAGAGAGAGAGAGAGAGAGAGAGAGAGAGAGAGGAGAGAGAGAGAGAGAGAGAGAGAGAAGAAGAGAGAAGGAGAGAGGAGAAGAGAGAAGAGAGAGAGAGAGGAAAGAAGAGAGAGAGAGAAAGAGAGAAGAGAAAAGAGGAGAAGAAGAGGAGAAGAGAGAGGATGAGAGAGAGAGAGGAGATAGAGAGAAGAGAAGAGAGAGCGAGAAGGGAGAGGGAGAGAGAGAGAAGAGGAGAGAGAGAAAGAGGAAGGGAGAGAGACAGAAGGAGAGAAGAGAGAGAAGAGGAAGAGAGAGAGAGAGAGAAGAAGGAGAGAGAGGAGAGAGAGAGAGAAGAGAGAGAGAGAGAGAGAGAAGAGAAGAGAGAAGAGAGAGAGAAGAGCCAGCCGCCAGAGAGAGAGAGAGAGAGAGAGAGAGAGAGAGAGAGAGAGAGAGAAGCGCCCGCCCTCTCTCTCGGCCATTTCCCCCCCGAGGCCTTCCATCCCAGCCATGATTTAAATCCAGGTTTGCGCGAGACAGAACGGCTGCCTCACT